GCTCTTAACGACAATGCGTTATAAAACGAGTTCGTTATATATGGAGTCAAATGTATTCTTTTGAGTTAATTGGTTAAAACATTCTAAACAGTACTGCTGTTATAAAGACAATCTTTACAAAATAAAGACTATTTTATTGTATCGTATTATACTAACCAAATTACCTAATTTACCAAAATTACACTGGCTAAGCAGAAGAAAATAAAATTTTTTAAAATAAGACAATTTTGTGAATGAAGAAGCCTATCTCCATCTATTATGACATACTTACCAAATTAGGCCGGAAGTGCCATCTTAGAAATTCGGACAATTAAGGAAACTTTTTTATTTATTTACTTATTAATTTAGTCTATTATTCTTTTGTCATTTTTGATTCTTTTCTTCATTTTGTTCGGATTGGAACTTTATATTTCGAAGAACGAAAAACTTCAATTCTGAATACTTTTTAAATCAGTAGGAATATAAGAAAAATCTGGAAACAAAATGATACCTCGGAAGCATTAATCACAACTAAATTATATGAAAATTGCAGACACGGTTTGATTGAGTCTGTACATGAAGGAAAACGAATTACTGCAACATCCCTTACGCCCTCTAGCACCGGCTTGAGCGGTACTCAATTCTCAACACTTAATAATGCTGGCTGGTTTCTATATAATTATCCTTTAAAACCACTTAAATACATTAATGAACGCATTTTTTGTCCAGAATCATCATCGACATTTAACATTCCTCTTTGCATACATGGTTATTAGAAAAAAACTGGAAAAGAGGAGATCCCTCGAAGGCAAGAACACATAATAGGTCTATGGGTGGTTTTACATTAAATGATATATTGAGTTATAATAAAAAAACTACATACCAAACAATCATAATGCTGATTTCAGTAAATTATTTTTATGAACATTTTTTAATTTTATACCTACAAAATTAAGGTTTTTATAAAAGTATTCAAATAGAAAATACTGAAAACAACCCAACAAGAAAAAATATCAAAAATAGAACGTTTAACACCACAAACACAACAATGTCAATGATTTTAAGGACGACATAAACAAAATAAAAGTGACATTAGAATAGAGATAAACATATCCACTTAAAACACCAAAACTAGTACGGTTTCTGGTGAAATTATGGACACTGTATAACATAATGAAATCATGGTGAAATTATGGACACTGTATAACATAATGAAATCATGCATCCATGTCCCTATTTCCATTATCAAAAATTATGCAATTCTAAACGTTACAAATCTGCATTGACAATACAGATAACATATCATATAACATACTTTGGATATGATAGCTTGATAAAACGAAGTTTTCAATTTAACGAATATACATGCGGTTGCCTTGCCAATTATCTTAAACAGGGACCATTGGCTTCGATTAATAATGTAATATAGCGTCGTATTTTGTGGTTGTATAAAAATATACGATATATAAAATTACTCCATAAATGAAAAGAAAGATTTGAATTTGACAAAAAAAATCTAAACATTCACATCCATTACAAGTAGTTTGGATGTTATAGTTTAGTAAAGATATAAAGGAGGACATCCAGTTATACGTTTTATCTTCAAAAAAAAATATGAATAAAAATGATGCTTGAAGCTGGACTATGTACTGAACATGCAGAAGCTATTTTGTTGATCCATGTAAAAAGCGACGGGACAATGGTCTGTTCTGTGGAAGGATTACTGTGTCGTTGCGACCGAATATTTGTGCAAGGATTGCTATAAAGTGCATTGCCGTCCCTCTATAACACGGCACCATGTTGCTAAAAGGAAAGACAAACATTGCCAAAAAAGAAAAGAATGCAAGGCCCGAGACCACCTGTCCAATCCATGCTGAGCAGGTGGTAGAGTATTATTGCGAAGTACATGAAGAGGTTTGCTGCTCTTTTCATGCAAAGGATCGAGTCATTGAAAAATGTTGAAAATTGTTAAGAGTATCAATGACATTTTGCCTGAAATAGATATAAATAAAGAGTTTGAAAAGCTGCAAGGAAACACAAAACTGCTTGAGGAATGAATATAACATAACGCAATATGTCGTTCAGTCAAGCCTAAAAGGCAATTTACATTAATCATGACAAAGCTAGGCATTGAGATGTCATCTATTCGAAAAACGTATAAGGGGGGAACACATTGGACGGGATCTAAAGTAACCTTGACAAGAAATTGAAAACAATAAAAAGATGAAGATGAAAAGAAAAATCATGTCTCAAAAAAAATACATGTAGGGGCAATGTATTTTTGATGCAAAACACTATCGCAATCCTATGTTCAACCTAAAATATCAAGAAACAGAACACTTGATGCATTCATATCTATGAAAAGGGCACAAAGCAAAATAAAAGCCGACCACGCCGATCTAGAAAAAATCAGAATGGACAGTAAAATAAAAAGATATTCCTTTACACCAGATAAAAAAGTCACAAAACTTACTTTACAACCGAGTAATTTTGGAAATTTTTCTTTCAACGGAACAAAATCAAAAACAATTCATTTTATCAGAGATCTTAATGCAATGTCTACCGATGACTCGAAGGAATGTGAGGTAACCGGACTTTGCGTTATATCAGAATCACTTGTTGCAATAGTTGATAAGGGGAACAAGAATGTGAAAATAATAGACACAAACAATGACAAAATAACAGCAAATGTATTACTAAGTTCACCGCCTTATGATTTAACAGTTGTACCTGACGACAAATTAGCTGTCACTCTTCCGGAAGAAAAAAAGATTCAGTTTCTGTCACTTGCATTACCAAAGGCTGATGCAGTTACGCCTGAAAAATCCCTCACTGTCTCTGGAGCATGCCATGGTATAGATTTTATTCGAAATGAAAGAAAGCTGATCGTTACATATTCAAATCCAGGGACAGTCGAATTATTGCATCTCGATGGAACAGTCGATCGAAAAATCGAAGTCAGCAATATAAACAAGGTTTCAGTAATTCCAAATACAACACTGGCATACATTTCTAAAGGGAGCTCAGTGTTGGCAATACTAGAATTCGAAGGCAAGCTTGAAAATGTTTATGAAAAACGTATGTATCCTAACCATTGTTACAACATGCAAGGCATCACAACTGACAAGACTGGTACTGCATACATATGTGATGACCACCAAGTTTATGTTACATCCAACGTTGGATTATTAGACAAGAATACAGTCCATTCGTCGAATGTGAATACAGAGAAACTGGAAGAATTAGACTACCAGTTGTACGCTCGAAGTATTGCTTTCTGTGATAGAACGTTTAGACTTTACATTGGGAAAACAGGAGGGAAAATAAAGGTGTACACTGTTGCCTAACAATAGACATGCATAATCCTGAAAAAAATGCTCTGTGGTGCCCACTTGGCTGATTGGTTAAGTGCAAACCAAAAGAATTGACAAAAAATATCGTGATACGCTACCTTCCGCAAACAAAAAAAAATGTTGATATAAAAACCTATTTAAAAAAAAACAAACACAAAGAAGTATATAAAAACAAACAACAAAACCAAACAAAAAATATACGAATGTACAAGTTATGTTTTATTAAATGTTAAGTCTGTGTATATCTATTCAATGAAATATTATGAGACTGACAAATTCGCTGATTTTAGATGAATTGCTCGTCAATGCAGGTTGAATCCCTGCATTGAGTTCACATCTTTTCATATGAAATATCAATCAGAATTGTTTTTTTTTTATAGAACAGTGTAAGTTGTTTCACTCAGGTGTGCGTTGCAAGAGCCGTCTGACGTCCTGTTCTAACAGTAAAGCTAAACTGTTGCCATTGACTGTGTCTTTGTGATTTTAGAGACTCCAGTTCCTTCACGACCTCCAAAGAAAGATCTTTCAAGGGATTTGTAAATAGAATTAGTAACATTCTCCTTAATTTTAAATTTAGTTACATTTAAGGATTCAATGTATTGTTTTACAGGATTACAGATAATATTTGGATTACTTATCCTGATATTATTAGGGAAGGACCCTAGATGATATTGGTATAACTTTTGGTCCAACCCTTTTGTATGTACATTATATTTATGCTTAAGATAATAAAATATACAATTAAATATTATTTTACTGATATCTTTTATGACAAGTTTTTTCTTATTCTAAAGAGAGCTTTAAGCTAGTGCATGCCTCAAGATAAGCAAAGAAATTCAACCTTCAGAAAAATGTACTAATATCTTCTGAAAAGTAAATATATTTATAATTCAAGTATAATTAATAATTTACATGTAACATGCAATGAATGACTGATTTTCAGTATTTGCCACCATTTCTATTGCGTGACTAACGCAGTAAGGGCATTTTTTTGACATTTGTATTGTAAATTACGTGGATTAAAGGTGACCTTTGCTTCGTTCGTAAATTGCTGTCTTTGTTCACTTTAAACATACTTTACTTTTTAAATACATTTTCAAAATTTTCTTAAAAAACTGAAAAATTGGGATTAATCTGAAGACATGCTGCTTCAATAAGACTTGAGCGAGCAAATGACTTGAAAGTGACCAGTATAGAAAAAATGACCACATAAGTGTTTTTTTTATATTTAATAATGATCACGCAAAAGGGTTCCATATTTTAGAAATACGTTCAATTGTCACTTTAATTTTAGAACAAGCTTTGAAAATTGTAAATTGATATTTGCTATAATGGAATTGTCATATAAATAAAAAAAATGAGTAAAATGGAGCGGTGACCTAGTGGTTAAGGTAACTGCCTCTCAACCCAGAAATTATGGGTTCGAGCTCTACTCGGGTTACGACCATGTTTCTTCATATGACACCAGTACTGGTTGGTTCCAGGAAGCGGACTCGGAAGTGATTAATATAAGTTGCAAAACTTGTTTCGCAATCTTGCTTTAAATATGCTAAAACAAATTGAGTAAAATCGGACCTAAATGTTTCCTGTTATAGAAAGTAAGTTTTAAAAGTGATGACTGGTACTGATTCTAATGTTTTATATAAATAATGCGTCACAAGACAAGTGTATAATTAGCTGTTTAATATATTCTTTTATCGCATCATAAATATGTCAATTTCAAAATTCAAATCGTTGATTCTCTAAATTTAAAGTAGAAGTTTATGCAGCTCGTCTGTTGAAAGAAGGTCTGAAAATAGAAATAAAACTTTAGAAATAATAAGATAATGAAGATCAGTATTTATCTTTGCAATATTTCTAAAAGATACTTTATTTATCACATGCAAAATTTATATAAGATTTTCTACATAAACAAGGAAGACCACGTGGTTTGCAAGTCTTTGTAATGAGTCGATATAAAATATCGTTCAGTCATATGATACAAGACAAACAGTTTGTACTTTAAATAACTTTTTAATTAACACTTTGCATGCCGGGTGAATTGTCATCTGCTAAAATGTCGTCTGCTTTTCATTTTTATTTTACAGTTATAAAAAGTCTGCCAAACTTCATAGTAACTGACGGGTACTCGGCGTTTGGTCCGCAATCAAGATGTTTGAAACGATTTTTGTTATCTTATCAGCAGAATATCGGTTACTCCTAAAGAACTATAGCACGTTTTTATCACAGGCGTGGCTTGGAAAGTATACGTGTGCATGGCCACGTCTACTTTGATTTTCTTAATTTAAAATATATTTGTATGAAATTTAAAAGAATTACCCCCACTCCAGAAAAAAAAACAAAGAAAAAACAAAACAAACAAACGCCTGCCTGTGGTTTTTATATAATTATTTCTTTTAAGATAATACTTAACTTAAAAAATCGTAATATATAACATATTACTTGGAGTAATATAATTCATGAAAAGATCATTATGTAAAATCATGTTCATTCAAAATTTATATATTTATAATGTGGCCCACGTAGAAATGTATTTAATTATTGTTATGATATAATATAACATTTCAGTTTTGTATCAAAACATGTCTATGAAATATCTACCTTTTTCAAGGATTTACTCATTGCAACAAATATCGTTCGGATTGCAACCTCCGCACAGAGTAACCGCAACACATGGCGCCTGGTTGGCACAACCTGGATCTTCTGGCAAACACGTATATGCATCTATAATTGGAATTAAATACATATGTTAACAATGGAATATTTTTGACAAAATTATAATTATGTAGAATAAAGCATATTTTGTTAATATATTTATATACACATTGCCAACAAATAGTGATGCATGGTGAGTAGATGGTAATGGATACCTGAATTTTCGACGTACTTGACGATTGAGGAACTTAATGATTTATATTTTGTGTGAAAAAAGACATATTTTGCATAAAAATATTTAGATCATATCTTTTTAACTTCAACGTATGGACGACCGCACGTTATATTATGTTAAGAAAACATCGGTTATAGAGTTTTTTTTCGATTATACAGGTTGAAGATACGGTGCTCTTGACGCTTTTTATTTCGTAAAGAACGCAATAATATTTCGTAAAAAAAAATAATTATATTTCGTTCAATTTACGATATATATTTCGTTAAAACGCAATATTACTTCGTTTTAATGAACTTATGTTCTGGTTTGTTCTGTTCTGTACTTTTAAAGTGTTCTGTATGAATCAATTTTGACATCGTCTTTGTCATATTTAAAAGCTACGAACATAATCTACAAACATTATGAATGCCACAATACATCATTGACTACCCTAAAAACAAACTTACCAACGCCGAAATTGTAAACAGACGACACTGTCAAAATTCCTATTATCAGAATCAACATTACGAATTTTCCTTCCATTTTATCTCTTAAATCCCCTAGCTTTTATGAATACAAAATAATTATTCCGCAGGCGTACAATTCACTTTAAAAAATGAAAATTTCCTTGCTAAACTGTCAATGTACCATCTGGACACACGATTAAAATGACTTCAGACATGTATTTATCTTGACATTTTCAATAATTATTGGAACAGCTGAGTTTTTTCCCATATATTAATCAGAAAAAAATGATAGTGAATGATGATAGTTAGGATTGGTATACATGTATACATGATTCACTAAATTATTCTTATAAGAATAAGGTGTTATGATATATGTCGTCTGTAATTTTGTTACCCTTGGGGAAAGTGAATAAAAGTTTAGTGTTGGACAGTTCTTGTTACCTTGTGTAATCATAAATACACTTAGATTTGATATATGTTGCGGCAGTGAGGTAGTAAATCATTAGAATAGGTCTGTATCCAAATAAAACTTTGACGTGAGGTAGCGAACTTCTAAAGACTTACTCTTCACTTCTGTGGAGTAAAATGTAAAACAGCTATCAAGCTAATTTTTGCGGAAGGAGATTGTTTCTATTCGTGCCTGATATAATTAAATGCAGGGGCACTAGAGGTCTTCGTCCACCAGTTAAGTTCAAAAGGTCAATGTGACTGGAAACTTCCTCTAACCACCCACACCCCCACACCCAAAAAAAGAGCCCCCCCACCCCACCCCCCCCCCCCAAAAAAATACACACAAAAAACAACGGGGTACAACAACAACAAAAAACACACACACCAAAGAAATTAAAGAAATTTGGTCACTTTTTATTACCTTTACATATATCATTTACTTGTATATCTGATCTTGTAAAACAAGAAACTCAACAGATAACGTAATTTCATAAACATTTGAGATCTGCAATCGTAGATCGAAGCTAGCTTTAAACATCGACCTGGCTCTGATTTTCTATGTCTATTTTTTTTTTTAATTTTAATTTTAATTATTCACAGCCTGATTGAATTTCGAGCCAAATCTGCGATCGAGATATTCATTTGTTAATAAGCAAATATCGTGCAAGCATTGAATCCAGAGCTAACTCTGATATTATCATAAAAACTGTTAAATAAAAGGACGAAAACCAACCAGCAATAAGCTCAGAGCTTGTTCTACGATCGTTATACAAAATTGTTAAAACGGTCGAAAATCGAGCCAGCACTAATCTCAGAGTCTGCTCTGCGATCGTTATACAATATTGTAAAAACGGTCGAAATTCGAGCCAGCACTAATCTCAGAGCCTGCTGTACGATCGTTATACAATATTGTTAAAATGGTCGAAATTCGAGCCAGCACTGATCTCAGAGCCTGCTCTACGATCGTTATACAATATTGTTAAAACGGTCGAAAATCGAGCCAGCACTGATCTCAGAGACTGCCTCTACGATCGTTATACAATATTGTTAAAATGGTCGATACTCGAGCCAGCACTAATCTCAGAGCCTGTTCTACGATCGTTATACAATATTGTTAAAACGGTCGAAAATCGAGCCAGCACTGATCTCAGAGACTGCTCTACGATCGTTATACAATATTGTTAAAATGGTCGATACTCGAGCCAGCACTAATCTCAGAGCCTGTTCTACGATCGTTATACAATATTGTTAAAACGGTCGAAAATCGAGCCAGCACTGATCTCAGAGACTGCTCTACGATCGTTATACAATATTGTTAAAATGGTCGATACTCGAGCCAGCACTGATCCCAGAGCCTGTTCTACGATCGTTATACAATATTGTTAAAACGGTCGATACTCGAGCCAGCACTGATGTCAGAGCATGTTCTACGATCGTTATACAATATTGTTAAAACGGTCGAAAATCGAGCCAGCATTAATCTCAGAGTCTGCTCTGCGATCGTTATACAATATTGTTAAAACGGTCGAAATTCGAGCAAGCACTAATCTCAGAGCCTGCTGTACGATCGTTATACAATATTGTTAAATCGGTCGAATTTCGAGCCAGCACTGATCTTAGAGCCTGCTCTACGATCGTTATACAATATTGTTAAAACGGTCGAAAATCGAGCCAGCACTGATCTCAGAGACTGCTCTACGATCGTTATACAATATTGTTAAAATGGTCGATACTCGAGCCAGCACTAATCTCAGAGCCTGTTCTACGATCGTTATACAATATTGTTAAAACGGTCGAAAATCGAGCCAGCACTGATCTCAGAGACTGCTTCTACGATCGTTATACAATATTGTTAAAATGGTCGATACTCGAGCCAGCACTGATCTCAGAGCCTGTTCTACGATCGTTATACAATATTGTTAAAACGGTCGAAACTCAAGCCAGCACTGATCCCAGAGCCTGTTCTACGATCATTATACAATTTATTGTTAAAACGGTCGAAACTCGAGCCAGCACTAATTTTAGAGCCTGCTCTACGATCGTTATACAATTTTGTTAAAACGGTCGAAACTCGAGCCAGCACTGATCTCAGAGCCTGTTCTGAGATCGATATTCAATTTCTTTTAACATTGAATCTGAAGTCAGTTACGAAATCGATATTAGAGCTACATTATAAATGAGCGAATATCAATAGCTTGAATTTACCTCAGTACTAGTTTTAAGATCGATATTTTACTTATTGTTAAATGTAAACATCGTACTGGAATGTAATCCAGATGTCGCTCCGAAATCGATGTTCAATTTCTTTTTTTTTGAAGCAGCATGCCTCTAGATGACCGAAAAAATTTCAATAAGTCAAACTTATGAAAAATATACTTAATTTTAGGAAACGTAGAATGATTCAAGATTCAAGTAATAATTTACATGTTATGAACGATTAATGGTGAATGTTTCATTATGTGTAACTATATTTCTTATGCGTTACTAACGCAGTAAGGACAGATTTTGCATATTTTGACCTCTTTTGTAATTGATGAGCGTTGTAAGTGTGTTTGATAATGTGTTAATTGATTTATTTAATTTACTTTACAATATTATACATTTAATTTCATTTTCAAAATTTTTTATGAAAATAAGCATATTAATATGGCTGCTTACTGCTTTAAAAGTAGATCTTAGATTAGCATGGAACTAAGGTGCAGCTCTGAGCCTAGCTAGCAAGCTAGCTAGCTATCTAGCTAGCTATCTAGCTAGCTAGATAGATAGATAGATAGATAGATAGATAGATAGATAGATAGATAGATAGATAGATAGATAGATAGATAGATAATAAGATAGATAGATAGATAGATAGATAGATAGATAGATAGATAGATAGATAGATAGATAGATAGATAGATAGATAGATAGATAGATAGATAGATAGATAGATAGATTAGATAGATAGATAGATAGATAGATAGATAGATAGATAGATAGATAGATAGATAGATAGATAGATAGATAGATTAGATAGATAGATAGATAGATAGATAGATAGATAGATAGATAGATAGATAGATAGATAGATAGATAGATAGATAGATAGATAGATAGATAGATAGATAGATAGATAGATAGATAGATAGATAGATAGATAGATAGATAGATAGATAGATAGATAGATAGATAGATAGATAGATAGATAGATAGATAGATAGATAGATAGATAGATAGATAGATAGATAGATAGATAGATAGATAGATAGATAGATTTTTAGAACATTAAGTTTTAACAATTCCAATTGTCGATAATTCCCGATAAATTCACTTATTTACTGATAAAACCTTACTTTATCTCACCTCTTCCGTACACCTCACCTTATCTTACCTTACCGTATTTAATCATATAAATAACCACAAGGCAAGTGCTCAATTTAAATGTTTTAATAAATTCCTTAGAGCATCACATAAATTAAAATTTCAAATTCGGAACACTGTTGCTTTTTTATAGTAGAAGTTGATGTGTCTAGTTAGCTGAAATATGATCTGAAAATAGAAAACAATATTTGTTTTTTGTGTGTTTTTTTTACAATATACATGTATTTGTAATGTATACTTGAATGGTCACGTGTCAGTTAGATTTCTTACAGCTGCATCCTCCCAGATGAGCTAAATTATATCTAGAAAATTAACCCTGACAAAAATGTTCTAAAATATAAGAATAAATGTACAAATATTCGCAATTCAAGAAATAATTCAAATGTTATATGCAATCAAAGACTGATTTTCAGTATTTATCGCCATTTTTTAGCAAGGCACTGTACAAAACGGGATTAATCCGACAGGAAAAAATGCAAAATTCAGTCCTATTTATGACCCGCCAGATAATACATGTTAAAACTGTTCATCTTGAGTCCGCCAGCTCAATATTGTAATCATGATGTTGCGGTTCAATTCTCTGGCGAGGCTAAATCCGCAATGACTGACCCGGATATTGAGTCTAATGGCCATTTGTCTTTTTTCCCAATAGCCATTCATTTGCAGAGAAAAATACGAAAGACCGGTTGGGACATGTCAACTTTTCATCGCGGAATCACAATTTTAACTTCGTTTATTCAAATATTCAATATTCATAAAAATATTTATACAGTTTCAAATAGGAATACTGGAACAACCGAACTAGAAAAAGATCAAATGGAAGGAACTATTAATACAACAAACACGACAATACTAAATGATTTTCTAGGACGGCACAAACAACACTACAGTGACAATTGAATAGAAAAAAAGAACAGATTTACTAAGTCGAAAAAAACAACAGCCGAAAATAGTACTGTTTCTGTTGAAATTATGGACACTGCATAACATGATGAAATCCCTATTTCGATTTTTTAAATTATGTTTTGCTTAACGTAACAAATATGTATTGACTTAAGGTAGTACACCCCTAATGGGCACTATAATGAACTTTAAAATTGACAACATAAGACAGTAATATGCCTTCAATGATACCTGTATGCAAAATTTAAACAAAATTTACCGTGTGGTTTATGAGTTATGGAGTTTTTTCTGAACTAAAACTTTGCCATTAGAAGGGCTTTTTTCAGAAATGAAGAAACTCTAAATTGTCTATAATATTATCATTATGAAAAATGTTTTCATTAAACAAATTTAACAAGCAAAATGATTGTTTTTAAACGAAATGTTTTTAAAATGTATAAAACTGTAACCCTACCCCACCTACTTTTAACACTTATTTGACCATTTCCCGGTGTAAAAAGCCTTCTTTAAAATATCCCTTAAATTTTCCATAATGAGGGGCTGTTTTCAAAGTTTGCCTAAATTTTCTTGAATGTATATTGGTTGGACTTGCAAAATATAAAATACTTTCACCGTGTAGTTTTTTATTTTATTAAACTTTGAAAATATCTGGTATCATATTTGCAATTAAATTTGGCATTATTTAGTAAATAAATACCTACAAAAATTATATAATTAAAATGAAACATTTTTTTCTTCTATTAGGGATCTGAGAGATTAATTAAAAATGTTAAAAAGAAAAAATAGAAAGGAAAAAAAAGTTGCCCCTTCTGGGGATTGAACCCACGCCCCTCAGTTTCAATACACTTTACAGTGATTCTAGCCTATTTGAATACTCTTCAAAGTGGAGATAGTGCATAAGGGGTGTACTACCTTAAAGTTTAAATTATATAAATTGCATATCACATAACATACTTTGGATATGTTAAGCTGATAAAACTAACTTCAGTTTAACAAATGTACATGTCGTTGCCTTGCCGATTATCTTAAACAGGAAGATTGGTCGATTGAAAATGTTATAGAGCGTCGTATTATTACACGGTAATATACGATATATAAAATTGCTCCATTTATAAATGAAAAGGAAGATTTAATTTTGACAAGAAACTAAACAGTCATCTCAATAACAATCAGTTGGATATTATAGTAGTAAATATTAATAACGAGGACTTCCAGTTATTCGTAAACTTAAATCTTCAAAATAAAACATGTATAAGAATGATGAGGCTGAATTATGTACTGAATTTTTAGAACTGTTTTGTGATCCATGTAAAAGCGATGGGCAGAGCCTGTCCGTGGAAGGATACTGTGTCGACTGTGAAGAATATTTGTGCAAGGATTGCTATAAAGTACATTGCCGTCCTTCTATAACAAGACACCATGTTCTAAAAGGAAAGGACAACATGCCGGAAAAGAAAGATTCCAAACCCGTTACATGTACAATTCATCCTGGGAAGCTAATAGAGTTTTATTGCGAAACACATGATGAGGTTTGCTGCTCTTCCTGCCAAGGATCAAGTCATGAAAAATGTGAAAGTGTTCAACATATCAATGACATTTTGCCCGAAATAGATATAAAGAAAGAATTTGAAAAGCTGCACGACAACACAGAACTGTTGATGGATGACATAAACATAACACAATATGCCATCCAGTCAAGCCTTAAGGCAATTTCGATCAATCATGACAAAGCAAGTAATGAGATGTCATCTGTTCGACAACGTGTAATGGAAAACATTGACCAGATTGAAAGCGAACTTGACAAGAAATTGAAAAAATTTAGAGACGATGATGAAAGAAAAATCATGTCTCATAGAAATGCATGTGAGGCAATGTGTTTTGATGCAAGCACTATCGAATCCTATGTTCAACCTAAAATATCTAGAAACAGAACAATGGATGCATTCATATCCATGAAAAGGGCACAGAGCAAAATAAGGGTAGACCACGTCAATCTTGAAAAAATTAGAATGGACAATATAATAAAAAGATACTCGTTTACACCAGATAAAGAAATGACAACGCATACTTCACATCGGTATCCTTTTGGAAAAGTTTCTCTCAACGAAAAGAAATCAAAAACAATAAATTTTATCAGAGACCTTAATGCGATGTCTACCGATGATTCGAAGATATGTGAGGTAACCGGACTATGCATTATTTCAGAATCACTTCTTGCCATTGTTGATAAGGGAAACAAGAAAGTGAAAATAATAGACATAAACAATGACAAAATAACGTCTATTTTTTTACTAAGTTCAGCGCCTTATGACATAACAGTGATATCTGACGACAAATTAGCTGTCACTCTTCCGGCAGAAAAAAAGATTCAATTTCTTGTACTTGCATTACCAGAGGCGGATGCAGTTACACCTGAAAATTCCCTCACTGTCTCTGGAGCATGCCATGGTATAAATTTTATTCGAAATGAAAGAAAGCTTATCGTAACATATCAAAATTCTGGGACAATCGAAATATTGGACCTCGATGGAACAGTCGCTCAGAATGTCGACTTAAACTACCGTAATGTGAACAAGATTTCAGTGATTCCAAATACAACACTGGCATACATTTCTAAAGAGGCAAACCAATCCTCTGCTTGTTTGGCAATACTAGAATTCAAAAATAAGCTTGAAAATGTATGTGAAATAAGTAGAAATGCCTTAATGAATGCGTATCTATATCTTAATGTGCAAGGCATCACAACCGACAAGACTGGTACTGCATACATATGTGATGATCACGCAGTTTATGTTACATGCAACGTTGAAATATGCAATAACACACTTAATTCGACGGATGTGAAAATAGAGATGCTGGAAGGATATGACACTCCAAGGAACGCTCGATGCATTGGTTTTTGCGATAGAATGTTTAGACTTTATATTGGAACAAAAGGAGTGAAAATAAAGGTTTACACTATTGCCTGACAGTGCGCATACGGAATACTGAAAACTTGTTGGCTCGAACTGGCATGAGTAAGTTTTGGTGACTTCGTGGCTGATTGGTTAAGCGCAAATCAAAGGAGTTGACAAAAGTATTGTCATACTATTCCACAAACAATAATAAAGAAAAAGATAAAGAAAAAAATAACAAAAAAAACCCCAAAGAAATATATGTGAAAATAAACAACAAAAACAAACAAATAAACTACATGTGCATGTAATATTTTATAAAATGTTTATTCCGTGTATTCAATGTCTATTCAAAGACTAGACTGACAAATTCGCTGATGTTGGATAAATTGCTCTTCAATACAACGGCGTTGAATCCTCCATCGACTTATGATCTTTTCAAATGAAATAACAATTAGAATTGTTGATACATAGAACCCATTGAAATATGCATCGTCTCTCTGACGTCTTCTTCAAACAGTAAAGCTAAACCGTCGCCATTAATAGTGTCTGTGGGATTTTGAGGGATTTTAAATATATTTAGTTATATTTTCGGTATATTTTAACACATTAATAAGAATAATATAATTTCAACTTTAAATACATATGGAAATATTTACATACCGAGAGTGATCTGAAACGGTCTTTTACCCCATAGATACAGTTTACCGATCATTTTGTAATGCTAATTTTGATTCAGTAAATGATTCAATCTGATATCAGTAAGTATTTTGTGAAAGTAAATTGTACCCGATTATTCAAATTTGATACAAGGGAACGAGGAGAGCCATTCGATACAAATGGAGCTGGAACTTTTTATGCTTAGACTCTTAATGTATTGCAATATAATCAGTTGTTATAAATTTGGACATTATAAATTAATTTACTTTAATTATATGTTGCTTGAAGTACATAATAAAAAGCCCTAAGAAATTAGAGTCGTTTATTACTTTTTTTCCACTATCTTTTTTCTTGAATACGTTGAAAAATAAATAGAATGAACAGAAATTATATATAAACATTATTAAAGTACAGTAAGAATGACTTCAGTAGTATCCACCCCGGTTTGTGTGTAAACAAACGGGCGCCATCTTGGATCTATATTTAGATACGTTAGGTCATTTTGGTTACTATAAATAGTAACTAATTTGCATATAAGACTTTAGCTATTGATTGGATGTTATTTTTAGATGTACCAAGGATGCAACGTAGAGTAGCATCTATATTTAGTTACGATGACATAAGTTTGCACAGTTTGACCCGTACAGGTCAGTACATTATTGAAAGGGTGAGGTAAATACACGTACATCCCGACAGTTTTACGGAAGTCAGTTGACAATATTATATCATGTATGAGACATGACACATAGGAAATAGTACGATTACGTGTGTTTTGCAACACATATCAAATGTGTAGATGTATTAAACGAAAGGTCATTTAGTAATTTATTTGCATATAAGACTTTAGGTATTGATTGAATGTTATTTTTAGATGTACCCAGGATGCAACGCAGATTCCTTTTCATTTCGGGGACAGGAAAGGTTTAAACCGACACGGGTTGCATTTCGTGCCCTACAATTCCTCGCCCTAGAAAAGTACTCCTGTAGGGTACAATAAATACCAGAATCAATAGAATAGTATCAATAACATATAATTTAAACGGAATCAATAGAACAATTCCAATAAACAAGAGCTGCGTTAAATACGTTCTACCTGTTCAGTGTTCAACAAAGAAATGACAAAGTGCGTACTGGGCATGCTCGGCCCCAAGACTGCACACGCGCGGCGGCCATCTTGTTTACACATATATAGTAGTATATTTGCATATAAGCGATGTGAAGTTCGGCAAATGTGCGGCGGATATATTTTATTGACTTATTTTTTAATATCCCATCGATGCACAGGTCCTAGATAAATTATTTATATGGTATATGTGACATGAAATATACTTTTACCCGGTAATACGCAAATGACCGTCATTTACATATAACGGAATAAGCCCACAAACGCAACAGTTATTTGGAGGTTTTAGTTTTAATATACAAATTTAATTTTTTATCATAGTCGGTATTTGGCCAATCTCTATATACATATTCCAAGTAATATTGAATTTAAAAATATGTATCGGAGCTAATTCATAAACAACGCAGCTGAAATTAACTTTAATTTTAAACATTAATAAATGACACATTTTATATACCCGTAGGCTGTACCGTGTGACAAGCGTGCTGTATGTTTGCACCATGTAAGCCTTTTTAAACCATACTAAAAGTAATAAATCCTTAATAAATGACATATTTTATATACCCGTAGGCTGTACAACTATCATTTGCTGTTGTAAGCC